TGGGGAGGTGGAAGCCAGATTTTTTAACGAATTAACCCTATATGTACACAATGAATTAACCCTATATGTACACACAAAAAAATACACTAAATGCCATTTTGATGATTTGTTTAAAGATTTATTTATTTATACATACAAGGTCTAATTTTTAATAAAGGTATTTCATCTGGCTATATAGGTATACCTATAAAGGCATTTCACATTGGCTATTGTTGGAGGCGGCCACCCTGCGTAGTGAGCAAAAGGGCCTAGACCCAAGTCTCTAAGGCATGTGAAAACACATGCGTCTTGGAGGAAAACCTCTGAGTGACAGGACTTGGTGTTGAGAGCCTGGAAAGTGACCTGTGTGGAGTCGGGCTTCTACATCTCCACAGCCTGAGAATAATAAAATGGAGAGATCCTGCGCAGTAAGCAGAAGGGCCTTGACCTGAGTCCCTAAGGCATGTGAAAACACATGCGTCTCAGAGGAAAACCTCTGGGTGACAGGACTTGGTGTTGAGAGCCTGGAAGTGAACTGCGTACATCTCCACAGATTGACAACAACAAATAATGAGCGAACTTCCCAGGCTCAGGCTAGGAGGCGATAAGATTATGTGTGTGAGAACTAACCGTCCAGTACCCTACTGTCTGAAGTAAATAGATAATAGTAAGAAAATAGACTAATCATTCATGCATGTTATCATTATGTGGTATGCTTTGATGTTACACCTGCTGCAATTAAAATAGTATATAATGAGCACTAAGACAATAAAGATTTACTGCATGCTGGACATGACAGTCCCCCATGTCTGATTTCCTTCACCGTCGCGGTTCAGGTTTGGACTCACTAGAAGTCCACAGGCTATATCTGTTTTTTGCAGTTTCTTTAGTAGATTGCCTGTGATATATGCTGCAGGAATAAGAACACTGCTTTACACTTTTACCTTTCTGGAGATGTTTTCTGGATTGGTAGGGGATTCTATTTTTAAGTATTTTCCCAACATTAGATGCGGGAATTCAGTCCCTATGTTTTGTGTCTAACACATGGAAAAAGCCCTTGATATGTCACTGACTTCTCTAAGGACACCTCTGAGACATTGTCAAGTTACAGGTATACAAAAAGGCATGGTGATAAAACCAGTTACCAGGAGAAGTCACAATAGAAACAGAGTCACAGATGACCCAGCTCTTAGCTATGGTACACAAGTGTTTTAAATTGATTGATCAATATATTCAAGAAATTAACAAAGAGAAAAGATGGATCTCCCCATTTCCTACTCCCTTAGCAAACACTTACTTCACTCTCTGCTTTCATAAGTTTGACTCTTTTAGATTCCTCATATGAACGATATCATGTAGTATTTGTCATTCATTGTCTTACTATTTCACTTCTTTTTTTAAGGCTGAATAATATTCCCATCAGTGTGATCCATTCTTTATTTAGGGTTTTTTTTTTTTTTTTTGGTGGACGCTTAGACACTTAGGTTGTTTATATAACTGGACTACTGTGAATAATGCTGCAATGAACATGGGAGAGCAATTATCTTTATTAGATCCTGATTTCAATTCCTTTGGATAGATAGCCAGAAATAAAGGCGATCCCTCAATAAAATTAAAATAAGAGAATTGTTAATGTCATTGTAGGTATTAACCGGGCAAAAACATAGGGGTCACCACTAAAGAGCATGATACGGTCCTGTGTCCACCTGCCCGTCTATTCCTGGGTGTTTGATTTCTACTTACTTTTTAAGCCCAATCCTCCAGCCTCCTGCTAATTCTGTGAGTCCAAGTACTCGTTAATAAGTCCTCCTTTTCGGGCTTCCCCTTGTGGTGCAGTGGGTTGAGCGCCGCGCTGTGAAGCTGTCCACAGCCTTTGCAGCACTGGTTCAATCCCAGCAGGCCAGCGAGGGTCCCACATGGCGCTGCAGACCTCTCCTGTTGTGCCCGCTGCTCCTCTCAGCAGTGTATTTCATTAGTCTGCCTGTTTTGTTCCCTGCTCTGTCTCTGGTGAATTCTCTCACCCTCCCACGCTTCTGACTGTACCCCGGTTCTTGTATAAATAAATAAAATAAATCTTTAAAAAAAATAAGTCCTCCTTTTTTTTTTAAACTACTTTTTTTTTAAAGATTTATTTATTTATTTATACATACAAGCACTGAGTACAGTCAGAAGCACGGGAGGGTGAGCGAATTCACCAGAGCCAGAGAAGGGAGCAGAGCAGGGAGCAGAGCAGGCAGAAGGACCAAAGTACACTGCTGAGGGGAGCAGCAGGCGGCAGGAGAGGTCCAAGCGCCATGTGGGACCCGCCTCGGGTGGCCAGGGGGCAGCCGAGGATCGAACCGGCGCCGCAGAGGCTGCGGGCAGCTTTGCAACCCAGCGCTCAACCGCTGCGCCACCGGGGAGGCCCCGCCTCTTTTTGTTTTTTTTTTTTTTTAAAAGAGGTCAAATTATATTGCTCACAACTAAGAATGCTTACTGACAAAAGGAATTTTAGCATTTATAATTCAGGATTTACTGAGTTATGGTATGCAGCAGGCTTGTGGTCTCATTACTAAGGAAATCATGGCTTATGTCTTTTAAATTCATGACCCAGGGGAGGGATTGGGGTCAAAATAAGGGGGTTGCAATTGTATGGGGAATATAAAAATAAAATTTATTTTAAAAAAGTAAAAGAAAAAAATAATAAAATAAAATCCATAACCTTAAATAGAAGTCAAGTTAGGTAATGATGGGTAACAAAGAGGAGAACTGTTACTGTGGAGTTTTGATAAATGCCTTAAGAAATCTAAGGACATCAACATGATTCAAGGAATTTCAATAATTTCTGATTAGACACCCAGGAAAGTGAGATTTCGATATTCTCTTAATAAGGGTGATAAAAATAAATTATGCAAATACTTTCCAAACTTTGAAATTTTAACCCCAACTAAGTGTTGATATACATTACATGCTTCCTTTTAGAGAACATACACTTGAGAGTAGGAACAAAAAGTCTGTTTCAAGTGAGAGGGCATATTTAGAGGAATGGACATGATTACTGCTGAGGGTGGGGACATTAATAGTAATGCTTCAATATAATGGGCTTATTATGGGATGTTCTACTCAGTCTTTTACATATATCATCTCACTTAAAGTTCACAGCAGCTCCTTGAATTAGGCATTTTACAGATGAAAAAGCTGGAGTCCAGGGCCTCCCTGATGGCGCAAGGGGTTAAGCACCGCACTATGAGGCAATCCGCGCAGCCTCTGCAGCATGAGTTGGATCCCCAGCCAGCCAGGGAGCAACCTACATGGCGAAGCAGACCTCTCCTGTCTCACCCACTGCTCCCCTCAGCAGTGTATTTCAGTCAGCCTGCCTGTTCTGTTCCCCACTCTGTCTCTGGTGAATCCTCTCACCCCCACCCCCCGCATCTCTGACCAGTACCCCAGCTCTTGTATGCATAAATAAATAAATGCTTAAAAAAAAAAGCTGGATCCCAGACACACATCCACTGTGAAAAGCTAATTTTCAAAGTAAATACTGTGGTATTCTGGCTTTTTTAAACCATATGCCGCTATTATTTTTGTAATTAAAAATTGAAAATTCTAATTGAATATTTACTTGTTTTCACTATAGATTTTTTAGGAAAAACATGCTTAAGTGTCATCCCAAATATCATTTAATTATAAAATTTAAACTGCACACTTAATGCAAAATTTAGATCTAAAGATAATATTCAACATTTTTTAAAACGGTGTTTTTTTAGGGGAGGAAGAGGGACTATGGTGATGGTGCATGGATGAATTAGTGATGGGAATTTTACTGGGACTATACCTGAGAGGAGAAAGGATACCTTATACAAAAATGGACAATGATGTAAAAAAAAAAAATATATATATATATATATAAATTACTTTAAAATGGTACTTTTATTTTTTTTATTTTATTTTGTTTAAAGAAGCTATTTTTTTTTTTATAGAGGCATGTTTTATTTATTTATTTGTTTGGTTGTTTGTTTGTTTTGTTTATACATGCACTGGGTACAGTCAGAAGCGCGGGAGGGTGAGAGAATTCACCAGAGCCAGAGCGGGGAGCAGAGCAGGCAGAAGGACCGAAGTACACTGCTGAGGGGAGCAGCGGGCGGCAGGAGAGGTCTGCGCGCCATGTGGGACCCTCCTCCGGTGGCCAGGGAGCAGCCGGGGATCGAACCGGCGCCGCAGAGGCTGCGGGCAGCTTCGCAACCCAGCGCTCAACCGCTGCGCCACCGGGGAGGCCCTAAAATGGTACTTTTAATAATAGGCACAAGCTTTTATTTTACTTATTTTTTATCCCTTATATTCCCTCTTCTTTTCTCCCTCCCTCCACCTTCTTAACCTCAGAATCCTCATGGTGTTTATCAACATCCACTAGATTTTTAAGTATTTTACTTTATCAAATCATCTGCTATGAAAATGTCCAGCACTAGTTTTTGTTATTTTGATATGCTATACATAATTTCCTCAAACTACCTGCATTTTGCAGGAATGGGATGCATTTATTTTTTTTTTTATGACTGAAAAATATTCCAGCGTGGATATTTTCGATAGATATTATGTATAATATAGTTTGCAAATTGTGATAGTTTCACTTCTTTTCTGATTTGGAGTCCTTTATTTCCTGTTTTAGTCTGACAGCTTTTTCTAAAACCTCTAACGCTAAGTTAGACAGAAGTGGTAAGAATGGGCATCCTTGTCTTGTGTGTGATCTTTTTTTTTATTTTTTTTTTTATAGAGGCATGTTTTATTTATTTATTTATTTATTTGTTTGTTTTGTTTATACATGCACTGGGCACAGTCAGAAGTGCGGGAGGGTGAGAGAATTCACCAGAGCCAGAGCGGGGAGCAGAGCAGGCAGAAGGACCGAAGTACACTGCTGAGGGGAGCAGCGGGCGGCAGGAGAGGTCTGCACACCATGTGGGACCCTCCTCTGGTGGCCGAGGAGCAGCCTGGGATCGAACCCGCGCCGCAGAGGCCGTGGGCAGCTTCGCAACCCAGCGCTCAACCGCTGCGCCACCTTGGAGGCCCTTGTGTGTGATCTTAAGGGGAAATCTTTCAATCACTGAGTTGGTTGTTGGTTTGTAATGTATGGTCTTAATTATTTTGAGGCATGTTCCTTCTGTTCCCTTTTTTTGAGTTTTCATCTTAAATGTGTGCTGAATCTTATAAATTCTTGCTCTGAACCTATTGATATTATCATGTGCTTTTAATCTTTTGTTGCTATGCTGTATCATATTGCTTGATATACATATATCGGGTACTGTTGCTGTCCTGGGATTAATCCCACTTCATTATGATACATTATCTTCATGATATATTGTTAAATTCATTTGCTAGTATTTTGCTGAAAACTTTTGCATCAATGGTCATACATTTCCTGGACAATATTTATGTGATTTCTGTGCCAGGGCAGGGCAATATGGACATTATAAAGCCTATTAGGGTTTTTGCATGCTTCTTCTATGTTTGAAAGCAATTTGAAAAAGATAGGCATTAGTTTTTCTTTAAAGACTTGATAACATTCAGCTGTAAAGCTACCTGGTCCTGGTCTTTTATTTGGGGCAAGATTTCTCATTGCTGTTTTAATTTCCATACTTGTAATTTCCATGTTCAACTCATCTGTTTCTTCATGGATTAGTCTTGATAAACTATATTGACCTAGAAATTGGTCCATTTCTTTATGTTATTGAATTTGTTGCTATAAAGTTGTTAATAGTAATCTCACTATATTTTATATTAATGTGCTATCTATTGAGATTTCACCTCTCATATTTTTTATTCTGTTTATTAATGTTTACTCTCTTCTATGTTAACATAGATAGGGGTTTATCTATTTTGTTTAACTTCTTGAAGAATCAGTTTCATTGATCTTTTTATAATCTTTCTATTTTATTTATTTCTGCCCTTATTTTTTGTTTTCTTCCTTCTAATAAATTTAGGTTTGTTCTCTTTTATTTCCAAAACTTTAGGTGTGGTATTAGGTCATTTATTTAAAAGTAAAACAAAGACCACAAGCCTGACATAATCATTTAGACACAAAAGAACGTGCAAGCTGCACAGCTTTCTGGGAGGCAGGAGAACTGCAGATGCCGCTATTGGTTTATTTTATTTCTAGAGCTTATTTGAAGCAGCAGATGTTACCTTATTATCGAAAGAAGGGAGTCAGCTTCCTTCAGGTCAGATCTGGCTTCCCGTGAATTAAAGAAATGTAACATTGACCCCATTTGGATGATAGTGAAAACTGGACAAATGCAGTATTTTCTCTTACTGGGTGCTGGCAGCATTTTAATTATGTTGAAAATCTGTGATTCTCTAAAGTGTGGGATAGAAAAACTGGAAGGTTTTCACAAGCATACACGTCAAATACATAATCTTTCTGATCAGACCCAATGCATGACAAAAGGACAACAATGATAAGCGCCAAGCAGGGGGTGTCAGGTGGAGCAACACCTATGGGGTCTTGTAACAGGGTAGTCCCCAGAAAAGGGGGAGGTTCCAGGTTCTCTGCACCACCCAAATGGAGGGTGAAGCTGAGCAGGAAGAGAAGAAGCTGCAGAGGAGACTGAGAAGGAAGGAAGCATGCCCCTCCCCCTGTAACAGTCTGAGTGTCTTGAGGTCTTGGGGTGGGGGACACGGGGTCACTGATCCTCCTCCTGTGTTGGCAGCTGGCTGAGTCCACCCTCTGTGAAGGACCTGCCAGTGGAGGATGCTCAGGCACCCGGAGAAGGTCCATGAGGTTGTGCCAGGTCTGTGAGCAGGCTCTTGTGGAGGGCTGCGTGTGGGAGCCTCTGCCTGGGGTCTCCGTGCAGGCCTGGGACAGGGCTTGGTGTGTGTCTGCAGGGGTCTCTGTGTGGGTGTCTGCCCAGGAGGGGCCCAGACACAGGCTTCAGGGAGAAACTGGCCACAGCTGCTCTGTATCCTGTCTGCCCGGTACCCTGGGTTCAGGTCCCACATGAGGGTCACTCACAGGTGCTGGGGGCAGGCAGGCTGATCCCCCTCATGGGATGAGGAAACTCCTGGAAGGGACCCCAACTGAGGAGTCAAGCCGTGAGCTGTGCCCACTGCCCCGTGCACGTGACACTGCAGGAGAGTTCTATGTGTTTCCAGCATCTAGGAGCACAGGCGGTTAGGAAGGAACTGGACCAGTGTAGCAACAGCGCAGCATCACCCTTACCTGCGCCCATTTGGACAGATGCCTCAGGCCTGTTGTGACAGGTCCTGTCTTTCCACACTAGTCTCTGAAGCAAGCAGACTGGAAGCCCAGAGATACTTAGCATGGGATCCCAGGCCAGTCCCTCAGCCACCAATGCCTCCCCTGTTCTCTGGGAGCCATCCTTGGTGGGGAGTGAGACCCCGTAAGTCCTTCCTGAGCTCCCCAGTCCCTTTCAGACTTCTTAGAGGTCCTTTGAGAGGGATGTGAACCTTCCCTGCTTGAGCGCTTTGCTCCTCTGGGAACCTGACCTCCTTTGAGAAGCTGCAGGTGGCTCATCTGTTCTGCGCTTTGGTGATGGCCTTTGTGGGAACCCTGGGGGATCATTTAATCACTTAACCCTAATGTTTCCTTCCCTCTCTACTTGTAGCAGGCGGTAGAATGCTGGGGCTGTGTCATCCCACTGTTTCAGGGCCGCCCCGGGACACCTTGCTTCCTCACCCCACCTCCCACTCTGTTCACAGTGATGCCACACACAGGGCATAGTCTCATCCCTGATCCACTGCTCAGGAGGGTCAATCCCTCCTCTGGAGTGGGTGAACACAGAACTCAGCACCTCCCCGCACTCCCACCACACCCCTGCCTCAAACCTTCAATCACAGACTAATTATAATAAAGTAAAAATCAAAATCAACAAGCAACTATAAACCAGAGACACACTATGGGGAGTTGGGGGTGGGGAGGAGGGAGTAGGATCAAAACAAGGAGGGGTGGGAATTGTATGGGGACTATAACTAAGATAAAAATGCATACATTGTACAAAAATGAAAAATGATGTAAAAAATATATAAAATTAAAAAAAAATTAAAAATCCTCAATCATTGTCATCAGGGACAGAAGGAGGCCCCTACCAGTTGCCATCTATTCTCACAGAGAGATGGGGGTAGGAGTCTCCCAATTCTGGGCTCAGAGCCAGCACCTTGCATGCCATACAGCTGTCTCCCACACTGACTGAGGACTGAGGGGAATTTTAGCCTGTGCACACCCATCCCCTAGAACAGCACCAGTTCAGGCAGACAGAAAGCAGGAGACAACGGCTGAGTCAGCTCCTGGCCTGGGTCTTAAGAAACTCGTTCATTTTGTGAACGCCTACCTACTTTCCTCTGCTCTTTCAGTAGAGTGATATGGAATCCTAGCGTGCGCCAAGGGCCCACGGTGAGGACAGGGATGCTGCAAAGTGGTCAGTCTCCCTCCACAATGCCAACCCATTAAGTCAAAGTGGGCCCTCAGAAGAGGGAACCTGACCCCTGCCCATCCCCACAGACGGGGGCCACCACCGCTTCTCAGGGAATCAAACATGTATTTGGACAAACAAATATTGGGATGTTAAAACAACTTTACCATGCAGATGTGCTCACACGTGTAACCTCCGATGCATGCATGGTGTGCGTCTGTCCCTGGAGGAAGGTGTCCCAGTGGGAAAGCTGGGAGAAGTGTGATGTTGATGGACATAGTGCTTTGGCACTTAGGGGTGGTGGCCCGAGGCCCCAGGCACCCTGGACCTGTGCTGGCAGTGTCTGGCTGGGGGCCTGGAACCTTGGGTGGCACCTCCCTGTTTCTTCTCCACTCACTCCTGTTAGGGCAGCTGTGGCCCTGAGAGCTGCCTTGTTGAGCATAGGGGCTGTTGCTCATCCCTCTCCTTTGCTCTGATAGGAGAGAGCTTTGTTGCAGGAGAAATGCTCACCCTCTAGGCCCTGGAGTCTCTCAGAGGGAGGATGACTTTGGTGATGGGCCATTTTCTCCTCCAGGATGTGTCCAACAGTCATCATGGAGCCTGGCCTGCTTCTGGATGGTCTGAGGAGCTGGAGGGGGAGGTCACAGGCTTGTCAGTTTTCTGGGCATCTTCCAGCATTTTGTCTTTGCTGGGGAAGACCCACTGCAGAAAGTTGCTCATCATTTCCCGATGGGACTTTCTTGAGGTGCCCATCTTCTGGGGGAGATGGCAGGGCTTGCTTCTCGGGGGCTCTCTGCCCTCATCCAGAAGAGGGTGTCTCATCTCCCTGCTTCAGAAGACTGCTGTCCTTCCAACTTTACTTCTTCTTGGGACCTCTTGGGATGTGTTGCTTCATAAGTGGGTGCACACATCTGGCCCTGGCTCTGTTTCTGGTTCCATAGTCTCATGTTGCAAATGGCTAGTCTCTCCGCTGGATGAGAAGTCATTCAGGCCCCAGGGAGGTGGTGGGTCTCCAGTGGTTGCCCTCTGGAAAATGGATGATCTCTGAGAAGCCAAGACATCTGCTGCATGGAACACATCAGCCTGGTAGACTTGAAGAAGGCCATCAGTGGCACAGCCCAGAAGCAGCACAGCAGAGACATGGCCTGGAGACTGGTTCTGGGACACTGTCCACCACTGGTGTTCAACCTCCCCAAAACACAACTCTAAACATGGCTTTTTTGCATGTGCTGTAACAGAAATTTTAGGAGGTGTGGGGCTCTTCCTGGATCCCCTGCTGTGGAGGTGGGTACATAGGTGACTTCTTCAGTGACTGGATTCAAAGGTTCCTTCTACATTAGGGACCTCTTTGAGCTCTTTGTCTGGCAGTTGCTTTCTGACCTCTGCAGATTGGGGCCCTATTGTGAGGTCCACTGTTGTCACGCTCTGGTAGGAGTAAGGTGAGGTGCGACCCTCACTCTCCTCCCTTGGCTCATCTGTGGCCATTACTGAAGTTGGGCTTGCCTCTCAGCTGCCTCCCTTATCCCCTAGGACATTCTGTCTGGGCCAGTGCCTGCCTACCAAGGGCTGTTTGAAGGCCTGAGAAAGTGCCCTTCTTTCCTGTCCAATAGCAGGGGCCTCTGAGGCACCATGGCTATCACCACGTGGGGACCCTGCCTGAGCCTTCTGGGAGTCCTCACTGGCAGGTGAGGTGGCTGAGAAGCAAGTCACCGGGGTGGGGGGTGGGGATGACATTTTTATTGTCAAGCTCCCCCAAAGGCCCTCAGGGTGGGATTCCCAAGGTCTTGATTAAAGTGCCTTTTGAGCCAGTCCCCAGCACACAGGTGGCTGAGCTGGAAAAAACAGATTGCGGAAGGGGTGAGGGTCGAACTTTTTTCAACTTGAAGAGCTTGAGGAAATTAAGTATTTTGAGGGGTAAGAATCTCCTGTGCTTCACCCAAAGCCTTCTTATTAGTGCTCCCAGCAAGTTTCGAGAGAGTGGGCCAAGCACAGACAACTCCAGGGTGGTGTTCTTGTTGGGTTCCTGGTTGGTGGAGTGTAGATATTCAAGCTCCTTGCAAGCCCCAGACTGTCTGGGAATGTACAAGGCATGGCTGCTTCCCAGTCTGCAGCAATGGCCATCCAAAGGGACCTGACCTCCTGGAATCTGCCTGAACTTCCTGACGAAATAGGCTCACAGGATATTTTTTGCATACTTCTAGGAATAGGTGGTTAAGGGCTTCATTATCCTTTTTGACAATGTTCATTGGCCTGGGAGAACCCAAATCCTGGGAGATGATGGGGGTTACTTTGCTGGGGGCTTCTTGTCATTTTTATACACTGAGGCTGAAGTCCTGCTTTCTAGCTGCTTCAGCAAGAGGTGACATTGCAAGTTTTGAATTGCTGTTTGCATGAAGTATGGTGACCTATCTTGGGCCGCAAGGCTACATACTCCACAGTAACCACTCTGAGCTGGTCATGAAATTGGTAGGTTTGGGAAAGAGGGTGTGACATGGGACTGGGGTACACCCCATGACTGGGTTGCAGAAGGAGTCAAGTGTTGGGGTTGGACCACAGGGGACTGGACCAAGGGATGGGCAAGTGAAAGATCTGAATCAACTTCTGCTACTTCTTAAATTTGCATGGGTAAGACATTAGACAGTTGTCCCAACAGGACAGAGGAAAGTTCTGGGGATCCAGAGACCCTGAGAGGGGCCTTTAGAGGGAGACCCCAAGGGAGACCCCAAGGGAGCTGACTGCACTTATTCTGTAAGTGGCACCCCAAAATCTTAGGACATGGTGGCTTTCTAGCACCTAGCATCTTCTCTGGTCTGTCTTTCATGCTCCAGAATGGTGGGCCACCCAAGATATCCTCTGTGTCATCCAGCAACTTGAACATATTCCCCAAAGAATTTGGGTGACTGTCTGACCCCTCTGCCTCTTCTCTCCTCCCCAACTTTCAGCTGTACTCTCTTGTGGATTAGATATTCAGTAGCTTCCTGAGGTCAGGGTTGATAAAAATCGGGCTACCCGCCCCTACCTGTCAGTTTCTAGTGTCTGCCTAGAATAGGGCCCCTGGTGGTGGGCTAGGAAGGGGTCCTCTCTGAAACTCAGGATATGATGAGTCTGAGAGTCTCAAGGTATTTTCACCTCTGGAATCCCACCAGGACACAGATGTAAAAGGACGGGTTGAGTGTCCTAGGCCTGAGGTGGTTTAGATGGGAGACTGTGTCCAAGGGATATGGGGAGAAGAATATGGAGCAGTGCCCATTGGCAGCGACAGCAAGTCATACTGAGGAAAAGTCAGGCTGGAGCCTGGAGATGGGCGGCCAGTGGAGGCCATTGGAGATGGAGGCCAGGCCTCTGAACCAGGGGGTACTAAGGGGTGAGATGACGGAGCAGGTGGATGGAGGCAAAGGCTCTCCAGAGAAGAGACTCAGAGGCAGTCTGGTATGGCTCTGCACTAACAGAAAGTGAGGAAAACATGGGTCCTGGTGAGTGGGTGAAGGACAGAGGTAAGGAGTGGTTGGTCGGAGAAGATGACAGGGACACGGCAGTAGTAGCATCTTCCACAGATTTCCCTGGAGGCTGGTGGACTCTGGCAGGTGCTTCTTTTCACACCTCACCCAGGGGGTCGTGATCAGTAGCCCTTTTCAGGATGAATCCTTAGGTGACTGCACAAGACAGGAGGCACAAGCTACGGCCAAGAGCAGAGAGACCGGGAGGGCCAGGCAGGCCAGAAAGGGTGGGCACCCACATCCCAGACTCCCTCCAATGCCCCAGACTGACCTCACAATGCCCCTGCTCTGACAACCCCAGGTTTTAACCGTACTTTGTCCCCAGAGTTCACTGTCCCAGATTAACCCCAGAAGACTGCCACCCTGGGGTCCAACATGGACTCTGGGTGAAAGCAGGTAAAAAGGAAAGATTCTTTACCATTGCAGAAGTAAAATCAGCTTTCGAGCCTCTTCCAGCTCTCGGAGGAAATCTCTGACACCTGAAAATCAGGACACCATGTCCCATGGTAAAGGCAGGAACAGGGACCTGACAGGAAGCTGAGGACCTCTCCCTTTAGGAGAACTTTGGGGGCTTTGTCTCTAGAGTCCAAGGCCAGCTGATACCTGACACTCAAGTCAAGACTCAAGATGGGGTACCCTGTCATTACCAAAATAATTCCATCCTGAGGCCTGGTCACTGCTCTATAGGGGAGAAAAGGCAGGGGCCTCCCAGAGGAATTTGAGCAGTTAAACAACTTCTCTTCAGTTGGACCTGGAGGACCCACCTCCCAGGCTAGGCCCTGCTGATTCACTCCCACCATTATGTCCCTGTCCACAGCATATATTTCCAGGCCTGACTTGGCTTCCTGTCTGGAATCTGAGAGGTGTCATGGTTCCATCTCATCCCAAGAGCCCCCTCCCCCCATCATTCTGTGGCTGAGGGATGGGCCTTGACATCCTTGAAACTGGGAGCAGGGACTCGGGGTCAGGAGAAACACTTGGTCAGGCTGACATACAGCCGCTCACCTTTCAAAACTGGACGTATCTCTCTGCTTCTATCCCTTGCCTTCAGTTCCTTTTGATGCTGAGAGATGAGGGAAAAAAAGGGATGGGACCCATCTCTCACTGTCCTCTCTCTAGCTGCACATGGTCAGTGCACATGAACGTGACTTTCGCATTTCTTTTCCCTCTCCATATTTCTAAAGTGTTCCTTCGTGGAATATCACAAAAAGGATCTTCTGTGTCAGACCCTCATGGGTCTCTCTGCTCTACCCAAGAAACACAAATTCCCAGACCTCCAGGGGCTGAGCTCCGTCAGGTCAGGTAGGACCTGCTTCCTGGGACCAGCACTCTACTCTGTCCTGCTCAGAGGCTCCCACAGTGTCTGCACAGCACCCCATCAACCTCAGCTGAGGAGAAAGCTGGCCCCACACACCGGCCACAGCAAAGCCCCTGGGGAACAGTGCTCGGGAGGCTGGCCTCCCCCAGAAGTCACCCCTCTCAGGCACCTGTCCTTGGGCGCCATTTGGACTTTGCCCTGGAACCTCTACTGAACTGGACCCCTGGTCTGAGATCTTCAGATAGAAATCCTAGTGCCCATTCACACCCCTGCTGGTCTGACTTATCTCCATAACTGTCAGGTTCCATTCTTTCCTGAGAAAATATGATCTCTTCTCTCCCTTCCCAGAAGTCTCTCACATGACTGGGGAAAGCAGAAATAATAGACGAGAGAACCATGTTGTATTGGGTCTGGCCCAAGACCTTCTTACCTTCCTGATGTTTCTGTCTTTCCTCGGTGTTGGTAAGGATGGATCATTCTTGAAGCAGGGAAGTATCAGAAAGAAGAGCCCCAGCCCACACAGGAAGACGAATATGGTGTCCGTCACCCAGCAATTGAAGCTGCAGTCCAGCCAACAATCCAAAATGCTCTTCTGAGAAAAGAGAAAATTCTCCATGGTCTGAATCACACAACTGCTCTTGAGCAACTGAGCCCTGGGAGTGCACTTGGGAACTAAAAACCCAGGCCCTCATCACAGACTTGGTGCCTTGTCCCAAAGGCCCCCTCAGGGAAAGGGGCTGAGAGTCAGAGGAGGAGGTGAAATCCCAGCCCTTCCCTTAGCTTGCTCCACCCTTTGCTGACCCTTCAGTGCCGCCCCTCACCCTGTTAAAGTCTCCTTGGTCACTTTACTAGTAATTCCACCTGCAACTCTGTTATTTCTTGCATACTTTGCCATCTCTACTTGAGCTCCGTCAATTTTATGTCCTTGGAAAATCTGGGGTTGTTCCTGGATGGAACAAGCTCATTATAAAGCTGGGATGGTTTCTTCTTTCTCATGTCCTAGAAGGCACCAGGCTGTAGAGGGGCAGTCAGTCATAGGACTATTGACAACCTGTCTAGAATAATTTCTCTCTTCATATTGTCAGTTTATAATGGCACCTGCATGTTAGTCAGGCACTGTTATCATCAGCCTCCTCAGAGGGAACAAAAATATTAATAAACATCAAGTAGCCCAACACCATGGCTCTGAGGAATGTGGTACTGTGGCTTCGAGGCAGGGATCATGGCATTATCCTTGACTCAGTTTTGCCCACAAAAACACCTGTGAAAAAAGTATGCTCTGCACATTCCCTCTCCATTTAAGAAGAAATATAAATTCCAGGTTTATTGAAAAGTGTTTCAGAATTCCCCCATTGAAATAGAAATCCCTTCTTGTACCCTCATTGAATACAACTCAAACTGCACGGAGTTGGCAGTACACCCTAGGGACTGAGAAGTTTTTTTTCAGTTTGTCATTTGCAGACAGAGCTTTGCTCATTAACAACATCAACAATCAGTTAATGATTAAGAATAGAATGCTCTTCAGTAGCTCACCTCTCGAAATACTCTGGATATTGTTGTTTCCAAAGAGGCCAAGGTGTCTGTGGCACAGAACACATCAGCCTGACAGTCTGACAGTGGCATAGTCATTAAGGAGCATAGCAGGGACACAGCCTAGAGACTTGTTCTGGGAAACTATCAACCTATGTTGCTGAATTTTCCAAGCCACTCCTCTAAATATCACTCTTCTGCATCTGCTGCAACAGACTTTTTCGGTGGTGTGGAGCTCTTCCTGTATCCTGGATGTCTTGAAAACTTAAGGTACATATTCACAGTATGTATGTTACCTCTGACATAACAGGATTTAATTGTTACCTCCCAAGCTGCAATCTCTTTGATGTCCATGGCACTCCTATGCTCTTTGTCCTCTGCACATTGGGGCTCTAACTTGAGGCCCACTATTGCCAACTCTGGTAGGAGTCTGGTGAAGTGAGACCCTCACTTTCCTCCCTTGGCTCATATAAGGCTATTTATTGAACGTAGGCATGGTTCTCGGCTGCCTCTCTCAATCCCTAGGACATTCCATCTGTGCCAAAGACTGCCTGCAAGGGGTATGTGGTCTGAGAAAGTGGGCTTTTTTCCTGTCCACAGTAAGGCACTTGGGGAACCGTGCTTGGAGCCTGGCCTCCCACAGAGGTCACCCCTCTCAAGCACCCAGTCCTTGGGCGCCATTTCAGACTTTGCCCTGGAACTTCTACAGACTGGACCCCTGGTCTGAGATCTTCAGATAGAAATCTTAGGGCCCACTCACAGCCCTGCTTGGCCTGGCTTGTCTCCAGAATCATCAGATTCTATTCTTTCCTGAGAAAATACGATCTGTTCTCTCCCCACCCCAACTCTCTCACGTACTTGGAAATGTGGAAATAATAAGAGAGAACCCTGTTAAATTGGGTCTGGCCCAAGTGTTTCTTACCTTCCTGGAGTTTCTGTCCCTCCGAGGTGGTGGTAAGGATGGAGTACTCTGGAGGCAGGCAAGTAGCAGGAAGTAGAGTCCCCACCCACACAGGAAGATGAAGATGGTATCCGTCACCCAGCCACTGCAGCTGAAGCTCAGCCCACAAGCCACAGCGCTCTTCAGAGACAAGAGATAATTCTCCATGGTCTGAATCGCACAGCTGCTCTTGAGCAACTGAGTCCTGGGGGTGCACTTGGGGCCTAAACCCAGGCCCTCATCATAGAGCTGGGACCTTGTCACAAAGGCTCCTGAGGACAAGGGGCTGAGAGTCAGAGAAGGAGGCGAAATCCCAGCCCCTCCCTTAGTTTGCTCCACCCTCTGCTGACCCTTCTGCCCCTTACCCTATTGAGAGTCTGCGGTCACTTTACTAGTAATTCCACCTGCAACTCTGTTGTTTCCTGGATCCTTCACCATCTCTACTTGAGCTCCATCAATTTCATGCTTTTTGAAAATCTGGGGGTTTTCCCAGTTTTTTTTTTTTTATTTAATTCTCAGGGAAATGTTACTCTAGGGGGTTCTCTGACTGTAACTCCCTCTCTCCCACATAATGTACATTTCCATGCATCCACAATAACATTGAACTTAATTTTTTTAAGATCTATTTATTTATGCATACAAGAACTGGGTACAGGGCAGAGATGTGGGGGCTGAGAGGATTCACCAGAGACAGAGTAAGGAACAGAGCAGGCAGATGGACTGAAATATACTACTGAGGAGAGCAGAGGGTGAGACAGGAGAGGTCTGCTGTGCCACGTGGGTTACCTCCCTGGCTGGGGATCAAAATTGTGCTATGCTGTAGTGGCTGTGGATAGCTTCACAGTGCTGCACCTTAACCCCCTTGCACTACCAAGGAGGCCCTGAACTTAAATTTTTTAAATATGTATTTAGCTTGGGCATTTTGAAAAATTAAAAATTTTATTTCAATGAATCTCCATTATATATAGTTTGAAAGACTGACATGAGAATGAATAATTATTCAAACCCTATAAAGCTAAACACTTATGAAACAAATAGAAGTAGTTAAATGTTGAAAATACAGTTTTGGTGGGTGGCATCTTCACCTCTCCCTGCCCCTATTTAATACTGTAACCAATTCCTTGGTTGTCACATTCCGTGTGAAATCTAGCAACCAAGGTGAGCCTTTCAAATTTGTCAGTGTCATTCCTAAGCTATATTTGACTAACACACCTGTCAAGTTCTGAGCAGGGCCTTACCATCAAACTAGTCCAACATTCCTTCAAATTTGGAAACTCCCTCATGGATGGTGGGCAGGGGCAGTGCTGATGCTGTTCTCCTGTCTCAGAGCCCAACTGTTTACATCCCTGACCTCCTATCCACAGCTGGTTTCATCCTGGAGTCTGCCTGGAATCTAGGAAGCCCACCCACCTGCTAGGATTTCTCTTTCCTGCCTGAGACTGTTTTTCTGTTGCAATAGCACTGAGGCCACTTTTACAGGGAAATGTCTGGGACTTAGAGAATGTTTAGAAAATATGTATATTTTCTAAAAGTGTGCAAATAGAAAATTTGAATACAAAAGACAGGTATTGCTTTTTAAAACATTTAAAAAAAATATATAGCAAATTTCCCTACACTTTCTAATCAATGTTTATTAATCTGTTAGTATAGGTAAATTGTTGCAAGTTCAGCCTAGGTGCCATCACTGGATGGAGGAATAAAGATAAAGTGGCACACATCTAGAAAGGAATACAGTATTCCGCCATAAAGAAGAAACCCTGCCATGTATCACAATGATGGACCTTGAGGACATTATGCTAAGTGAAAAGACTTAGGCAGAAAAAGAGAAATATGTATAATCTCACGTATGTGTGGAGTAAGATTGGAGGTTGCCAGCGGTGGGTAAAAATGAGGAGATGTTGGTCAGTGGGTACAGATGTCCAGTGATGAAGTGAAAAGGTCTGGGGAATCATATGCACAGCAGGATGACTACACTCACAATCTGCACTATGTACTTGACAGTTTCCAAGATGGTAAATTTTGAAAGGTTTGAAAACACACACACACATAAACACAATAATTATGTGAGATGATGGATGTATAAACTAACTTATTTGAGCAATCATTTCACAATCTATGTATACGTTAAATCATTGTGTTGTATTCACTTGAATTTATACAATTATATCCCGATAAATGTCTCAGGTATATCTCAACGTAATTATAAATGGGTACATCTAAACAAGGTACAACTTCAATACCTGATACCTCAGGTTCTTAAAAAAAATGTACTGCCTGCAATCATATTCTTTTTCCAAATTCCTTTTGATGACAACCCTTCCTTCTCTGCTCCAAGAAGCCTCCCTATTCCCTCTTCAGCACAGACACTGACTCTCGATGTCCACCCCAGGACAAGGTACTCTGACTGACAAAGATTGGGAGGATGCAACATTAAACACTAAGGCTGATAACAAGGAAATGAGGTCTTAGGTGACATGGGCATCAGCCGCCCACATACCTGAGTGAAGCATGGTCTGAGCAGAGGAGAGAAGGAGACTAGGTACAAAGGTCAAGTCAGGAACGTGTGTCAGGTATTTTTGAGAATCAACAGGTGGTTAGTGACTGAATGGGCCTGAGAGAGAGAGAAAGATAATAGAATGATAGAAAATGAGATTTGAGGGCCTCTCTGGGGGCCCTTTATTTTTTTTTTTTAAGACATATATTCATACATACAAGAACCGGGATACAGGTCAGACATGCAGGAGGGTGACAGGATTCACCAGAGACAGAGCAGGGGACAGAACAGGCAGACTGACTGAAATACACTGCTGAGGGGAGCAGCAGGTGAGACAGGAGAGGTCTGCCACACCATGAGGGTATCTCCATGGCTGGCCGGGATCGAACCCACCCTGCAGAGGCTGTGGACAGCTTCACAGCTCTGCGTTCAACTGCCTGCGTCACCAGGGGAGGCCCTAAATAAATCTTTTAAAAAAATGAGATTTGAGATGGACCAGATCATAATGGACATTGCAGTTCATTATAAGAACTTTGCCTCTTACACCAAGGAAACTGGAAAAGCATTGGAGGATTTTGAACAGGATAAATGTGACTGAATGGGAAGCATATATTTAGGTGAAGCATGTATTTAGTTTTTGTTCCTGCTTCTTAGTACTCAGCTCCTAAAACCCATGGAATCTCCAGATTGTGAAAAATACCTGTTGTTTACTAATGAGAGGACTGGTGGCTATAGGTTCCTAGAGAAATTTAAGATAGGAACTGGCTGCAGGTGGGAACAAATACACAACTGGGTGGTTAGAATTTGCAGCTGTACTTCCTGACTTTGAAGCATGGGAAAGAAACTGGAGATCAACTTGTTCACCAAGAGTCAATGATTTATTCAGTCACCCTTAGGTAATGCCACTTTCATGAGAAACACAAACAAAAAACACAAAAACCCACCTCTATATGGATGAAGTTCAGGAACCTTCCAAGTGTTGGTGAACACATGGAGGTGTTGGGAGGCTGGTATACCTGAATAGCAACTAGAAAGTCCACGCCCCTTATTACATACCTTGCCCCTTATTACATACGTGCAGCTCTTCCCTTTGGCCGTTCCTGAGTTGCATGCATAATCTTAAACCAGGAATAGTAAGTAAGGCACTTTCCTGAGTTCTGTAATCCATTCCAGCAGTGAGCAATCTTAAGGAGGGGGTGATGGAATCCCTAACTAATAGCCAGTTAGTAAGAAGTTTGAATGGCTTGGGACTTCCAACTATGTCTGAAGTGAGGGACAGTTTTGGGTGACTGAATGCCTATACTGTGCAGCCTGCCCTAACTCTGGACAGTCAGCATCACACTTGAATTGTTGAACATCCAGTTGGTGTCAGATAATCAGACAGCTGGATGCTGATGCAGAAATGTCCATACCTTTGGTATCTGAAGTGTTAGGAAAAACAGCTCAGTTATGACACAGACAATTTTACCTTGGCTGCTAGATTCCACATGGAACTTGACAACCAAAGAATTGGTTACAGTATTAAATGGGGGCAGGAGCAGGTTAAGATGCCACCCACCAAAATTTTATTTTCAAGGTCTAACTACTTCTATTTCTTGTATAACTGTTAAGCTTTATAGGTGTTGAATAATTATTCAGTTCCATATAAGCCTTTCAAACTACGGAGACTGGAGATTGAATGAAATAAAATTTTTTACTATTTTTCTAAATGCCTAAGCTAAATCCATGTGGATGTATGGAAATGTACATAATGTGGGAGAGTGGCAGTTGCACACAGACAGCCTCCTAGTCAAATTCCATGAGAATTAAGTTATACTGTGTCTCAGGCAATAATAAGTGAACAACAGGAATGGGTTTCCTTAGCTTAATTTATGTTTATTTCTTTTGAAAGTTGAAGTAAAGAGTACAAAATGTTAGTGTCTATTTATTCTATATGGTAGGTACATACATGTGTGATATTTTCTGCATACTTAAAAATATACCTTAATTTGGGCCTCCCTGGTGGCGCAGCAGTTGAGCGCTGGGTTGCGAAGCTGCCTGCAGCCTCTGCAGCGCTGGTTCAGATCCCCAGCTGCTCCCCGGCCACCAGAGGAGGGTCCCGCATGGCGCTCAGACCTCTCCTGCTGCCTGCTGCTCCCCTCAGCCGTGTACTTCGGTCCTTCTGCCTGCTCTGCTCCCCGCTCTAGCTCTGGTGAGTTCTATCGCCCTCCCGCGCTTCTGACTGTACCCAATGCTTGTATAAATAAATAAATAAACAAACAAACAAATAATCTTAATATATATATATATATATATATACCTTAATTTTAGAAAGCACATACAAAAAAAGCAAAGATAACCCTCAATAGAAGAATCAAAATAAAATGATATCAGACACTGGATGCAAAGAGAGAGGTAGCATAAGCCCGCTGAAGTTTCGTGATTCATGTTGTGAGAGTCAACTAACTGGTGTTGTCTAATGTTAACTGACACAATACCAAGAAGTGGCAGTGTGAGTATACTCCTAAGATCTAGGTATGAATGGGACCTATAACCTATGACACTTAGCTTCTGGTCTTTAGAAATTTCTAAATGGTTTACCTCAGCTAAAAAAGGAATACCGTATAAACTACCATGTACTTTGCCAAGTTTACCTACAGGGAACCAGACACAGATCCTTCAAGAAGGAAAAACAATATACCCTGAAATGATGCTGTAGTTGAGAGAGCAAGATGGTCTTTTGATACAGGAGCAACAAAAGGCTCTGGTTGCCACTCTTCAATCAATTCTTCCTTCTCCTACAGGACACAACGGGTTCCAATACAGCACGGTGTTACTCACCGGACAGCAACTCCAGCAGCATCTAAATGGTTTGTCATAGTGGAGCCGATACAATGAGCAGACATCTAGGAATTGAATCTAGCTGTTGTGGTGAGAATAGAAACAGACTCTATGTTAGATTTTGAGCATTTGGTCCCTCTTTTATCACAATGGCTCAAGGCTCTTTTTCCACGGACTTTTGTGGGAGACCAGGAAAGTTTATGTCTGTGCTCAGGACTTTTCACTATGGGAGGAAAATATAACTGCTACTGGAGGTAAAATAAAAACTACAAGACCACAGTGAGTAGAATGACTTCAGTGAAGTGGGCCCAGTCTCTATTCTAGTCAGGTTCACACCGTATGGATGTGACTGCCATGGAAGGGCTTATGCAGAGCAGTAAGCACTGTTTCTACAAGATATCGCTTGGCCAGAATTCAGAAATAGTTGAAATACAGAAAAAACTCTCATCTGATAATTATTGCAATGGGATTCTTAAGGGAAGTTCTCATGAAAATCCACTTTATTCCCTTTACCTATTACTTCATGGAATACAAATATTGGACTATTGCAAGTTTATTATCTTTTCATGAAGCCAAAAAAAAGAAAACTGTGAAAATGTAGCCTGGATATAGGGGAGGAGTGAGGTGCCTACCGGATCTTAACAGACACAGCATCGCTGACTTAGGATGGGCCTCTCTCCATCCCTGCATTCTAATCATTGTTAAATGTTTTTGTGCAGTTTTTCCCTGAGAGGCAACATTAGGGCAGGACCAAGGACATGTTCAACTGATGCTCAAGAGAGTTTGGCAGAGTAAATTTTCCAATAGATTCCTCATTTGACTGCATGGGAGACACAGCAACACAGAGAAACCTAGAGTAGGTGTCACAGACACTGTGCACTTTCTACTATGAAGAGACATTTTAGAATCTCACTAGCCCCTGGAATTCAAGAGACCACATATCTATATAGTAATTATTAATTAATTAATAATTTATATTTAATAAAGTAATTACACAAGGTATTTATATTTAAAAAATCAGGGTGGAAGTTGGGTGGGGTGGGAAGGAGCTATGGTCAAATTTAGGGCATCCCCCTTCAGAGGTTCCAATATCCACTGGTATTTAAAAGGTCATAAGAAATCCTGCAATGCAGTATTTCTGCAATGTCCCTTTACTTGGCTCTACCCAGGTTTCCAAAACTTAACTGCCCTAAGAACAATCTGCTGCAGGTGCCCTAGGGGCCCATCTCATAACTGATATTAACACCAAGGACAGCAGTAGCCAGTCAGTGAAGCCAGGGAAGCAACTGCCACATTTCTCTGGAATTCTGCTTCTCTCCCACTTTCTCCTGTGAGTGCTCCAGGAGTAACGAGAAACCCATAATATTTGCGCCATAGTCAATGCTGCCTTGGCAGCCAAAGTTAAGAAATTTGTTTTGGAAAACGTCACTTCTAGCCCTCATCTCCGAAGCATTCTGGCACAAGGCTATAGGGGCTGGACTGTAAACAACCTGACGGACAGAAGCGATGCTGCAGTCAATCCTGCTCTCTCCTCTTTTCCAGGCTACAGTGACTAAGTGCTCCTAAAGTGAATGGAAGGAAAAGTTTCTTTTCCACCTGTCACTGTAGTGCCTCCTACTAAGACACTTTACATGTCACAGTTCCTCTCAACACTCTTCCTTCCTAATTTAGGGCCTGAGCTGGGTCCCTTACCATACAGGACACATCAAACATCCCATTAGGGGTGGGGTGGGGAGAAGGCTTTTCAACTTTGAATTTCTGTTATGAAGACCACAGGGAAAATTTTCAATTAGGCTTCAGAACAGCTGTGCTTTCCTCAGTAACTCAGGGAATCCTGCATGTGGGCTTTCAGAATCCAAGACCTGTCCATGGTTTCCCACTACCATCTCTTTGTAAGCATGCTGTTCACGTCCAGCAGCATTGGTAAAAGTCAGTAATAGGCACCCCCCCCCTTATCTCGACTGTTCGATCAGATCATTCCTGTAAGTTTTATAGAAAAGAAGCCTAATTATCCAGAGTATTAGAATTCCTTCCAAAATAACATGGTAAACGGGATCCTAAGAGTGAGTTCAAAAGAAAAGCAAAAAATGAAATCAACATTTTGAAAATCTGAACATAAAATGTAATTAATTGCAATACTGCTTCCCATGACCATGGATGAATTATGTATATGCAAACCAGTGTCAACAATTCTTAAAGACTTTTGCACATCTTACTATATTTTCTGTAATGTGGGTAAGCCACTTTAAATACTTCTTGGGGCATAGTAGAGAAATGTATTCAAAGAAATAGCAGGTCTCTTTTCTTCTGTAGTTTCTCCAAAGTATGTATTACTGCCAACAGGTATGAAATACCTTAATGAACTTACCCATGCTAGATCTTCTCAGTTGTGCATTTCCAGGACAAAGGCCATATTTAATATAACTAAAAACACTATGTGTATGTGGAAGATTCCAGATATCAAGTAACTTCAGTCAGTTGGTTAAAGAGGTGATCTACTGGACCACTTTATTATTGAAAAGTATTGTACAGATGTAATTAGAAACATAAATAAAAGTTATTTTCAAACATTAGACAGACAGTGATGATGCTTCACCAGTTTATTTTTTTTTTCATTCATTGCTCTCATTTCATTCATTTTTATACCCATTAGTTATGCCAAAGGACTGAACTTCAATTTCGCTAATGTGTAAACTGAACAAAATCCTCTCTATTTCTTACCTCCTTTACTCTCATTTAAAAATGTAAAAATGAATTTATCCAGATACAAACACAATTTATATTTTAAATTGTATTATACATTTCTCAAATTATCAAATACACAAAATGCAAAAAAATCCAGGATTACATGCAAAAAACAAAAGCAGTACCTCTTTACTAACACACACACACACATACACACACACACTCACACCTCTTTCACAAAGATTATAAGACTACAGGTTATATGGTAACAGTTCTTTGAGTATGAGGAGCTGGTCAAAATTTTCATCTATTGGGCCTCCCCTGGTGGCACAGTGGTTGAGCTCTGGGCTGCGAAGCTCCCTGCAGCCTCTGCAGCACCAGTTCGATCCCTGGCTGCCGGCGAGGGTCCCACATGGTGGGACAGACCTCTCCTGCCACACCCACTGCTCCCCTCAGCAGTGTATTTCATCAGTCTGCCTGTTCTGTTCCCCGCTCTGGCTCTGGTGAATTCTCTCACCCTCCCACGCTTCTGACTGTACCCAGTGATTTTATAAATAAATAAATAAATCTTAAAAAAATAATAATAAAAAAAGTTTTATCTATTAACAAAAAAGAGAGGTTAAGGTGATTTACCATAGTTTAAAAAAATCCAGAAAGGGGTAACAATAGAGGCCTCTCTGGTGGTGCAACGGGTTAAAAACCTCACTATGATGCAATCCACAGCCTCTGCAGCATGAGTTTGATCCCCAGCCGGCCAGGGAGCTACCCATATGGCACAGCAGACCTCTCCTGTCTCGCCCGCTGATCTCCTGAGTGGTGTTTTTCAGTCAGTCTGCCTGTTC